ATTTCATGTTGTTGGCCTGGAGGTGAAAGTAGCGCAGCTGCTTGCTGTCCCTTGTGCGCTTTAGTGGCGTCTGCTCCTTGTCGTAGAGCAGCTTCTGGACGGCGATCTTCTGGTGGGGGAACTGGCCGTGGCAGAGGGGGTGGTCCAGAGTGACGCCGCCCTGTCCCTTCTCAAAGACAATGACCCAGCCATTGTAGCCGTAGTTGGACTCGCGCGGGTTGTCGTCGATGCTGTCGTCGGGGGCGTCGAGGCCGTCGATGTAGGATTCGGGAGAGATGGACTGCTCCAGGTCGGCGTGCTGCTGCGTCTGCCACTGCTGGACCTGCTTGAGGATGGCGTGGTCCCTGAGGAGCTGCGGCTTGCGGTACTTGTCGACGCGGGCCAGCTCGGCCTCGATGCGGGCAAGTTCGTCCTTGGCCCGACGCGAGGCGCGGTCTCGCCAGCGCGCGTGCGATCTCTCGAGTGACGAGACCAGGGGCGAGCGGTCCGAGGGCGACAGGCGGTGGGTGGCGAAGTACTCCCTCAGATAGCGGATGCGGCGCAGCTCTTTCCGGACCAGCTCCTTCTCGGGAGGCGTGAAGCCGGCATAGAGCTCCTGGCGGCGCGAAAAGCGGGCGGCGATAAAGGCGGCCCACGTGTCGGTGGCGGGAACCGGGTCGGCATACTGGTCGTCGACGACTTGGGCATCTGACTGCATCTGGTCACCGGCTGGTGATTGCTTCAATGGCTGAGTCGGTCCGTCGTGTGCACAGCGAACCGGGGCATCCGAGGAGGGTGGGCGTGGTGCGCATGTGGCGCCTTTAAATTCCCGTGTCGTGCGCAAGATGGAGGGTTGCGTCGTTGCAGCTGAAAAAGGTGGCTAGATTTAATTTGGAAACGGGACTAGTCCGAGGTGTGTTTGGTGGCTTCCCGATGAATTGATAGCCTCATGGGACGCTTGTTCGGGTTGGCTAAGGTTGTGGCGGGACGGCCCAGGTGCCTTCCCTCACGGATGCTTCCTTCCCCGAGTTCTCCCTTGCCTGCAAGACGAGAGAGTTGGGGGGCACCTTCTTCCGCTTGCCGAGACACAAGCCAAAGAAAAGCGCTCAAGCCGCTGCTAACCCGCAAATAATTTCCTCTGAATGGGCAATAACTACCCTGCTGCTGCTGCTTCACTCGTCTTTGGGCGGGGTCAGGTCACACTCTAGATCCGTAGACTGCATCAGCGTGCAGCCAAGTGCAGAGAGTGTGCCTAGGATTTGCGCTGCACGACGGTCTTATCCGATGCGCTGATTTGCGAGAGGCCAGTGCCACGTATTGGGGCTTGCAGAAAATTGGCCAGACTTGACTTGTTCTGTCGTCCTGCATTGACCTTTTGGGAGGCCGTAGGCGAGTCTCCGTCTCTTGGCGTCATGTCGTGCTGCACGGCATCTTCTTACCTATTCCGAATTAGACTGTGGCTTCATGTACTGGCAATCGCGGCTTCTAGATGCTAAATTGCCAATTCGAAGCATTGTCTTTTATTGATCTTGGCGTCCCAGTTGCGTCACTCAGCGCCCTCAAATCAGCTGCAAATCGATTCTGTTAGCTCCCAACCCTCACTTGCGATACGCGGCTCCTTACCTCGGGGATGACCTTGCTCAGCTGCATGAACGCGATGGTTTTGCCCGGGCAAGCAAACTGTCCGTACCCAAAGGTCATGTCCAGCGTTTTCGCCATGAGCACCAACCGCTCCCCGTCTGCCTCCAGCCATCGCTCTGGCCGGAAGATCTGAGCATCCTGGCACCAGATTGACTTGGACTTGTTCATCGCGTAAATCACCGCGCCGGTTGCTACTCTCGTCCCCTCTGGCAGGAAGTATCCGTGGATGTTATCGCCGCCCTTGGGGACGCGCTTGTAGAATGCAGAGGAGATGGACGGCGGAAAAAGTCGCAGGCTCTCTCGAATGACGGCCTGGAGATACGGCAATCTTCCTGCCTCGACGTCGCGGATCGGAGCACTGATCAGGCCATTTGAAGCGGCATCGTCAATCTCGGCCTGAAGTCGTTGATATGACTGTGGGCTACTGGTGAGCAGGAGGATTGTCATGCGGATGGCGCTTGCAACCGTATCGGTTCCGACAAAGCTGGTTGGTTTGTTGGTTATTAGTACCCAACAGTTGTTAGCTGGCTCGGGCCATGAGAATGAGATCTGTTTGGCTCAGCGCTGTAACCAATTTGACTCACAACTGGAGACTTAATTCCTCTCTGAGCTCATCCCGACCCAATCCCTGGTTGATAAACGACTGAAGGATGTCCCTCTTTGGCGTAGATCCCACTTCCAGTCTCTGGTCAATCAGCTTTGTTGTATACCTAAAGTTAGCTCAATTAGCCGATTGTTCTGATTATCTTAAATCGCGAACCGAGTCCTGCTTACCCGCTGATGACGCCGAACCCGGACTGGTCGCCGTCGCGAGGAAGAAGGTAGTACAAGGGCCATTTCTGAACGTAATAGAAAATGGAACTAAAGTTTCCAAGCACGAGGATGAAATACATCAGGAACTCGGTGATCTTCAAGATGTTGTGCAGCTCTTTCTCGCTGTCCAGAAAGCCGTGGGATTGGCTGTAGGCAATCTCGCCCTGCGAGTCGAACGCGTAAAAGTGCGAGTGCTTGCTGAGATCCAGAGGACGAAAGGCTTTGCCGATGCCCACGTATTTCCTGTCGATAAGTTCTATCCAGTGGGCGATGGCCTTGTCGATGCCATGCTCAAAGCTCTCGTGACCTTCACCTGTGTACTGATTATTGTTTTCAGGGCTTCGTCAGCATCGATGTTCATTCGCTGCTTGTTGATACAGGACTGGCTGGGGTGAGACTCACGCCAGGCTTCACGCGCCGTTTTCGATCCTTTCGCAGCTCAGGGTCTCGCATGCACAAGAGGTTCTCCTCATCCGGCGAGACGCGGGCCAGCAGATACCAGTCGTCCTTTCTGTAGTCTGACCTAACCGACGACATTTGTTGCAGCGCGTCGAGGTCGGCGCAGATGACCTCATTTGGGCCGGTACGGACTACAGGGCCTAACACAGGATGACACGTTAGTTCAAGTAATGATGTGTCTGGTGTTGTTCATTTCGGCACTCGGGAACACTTACCATATGTCTCGACGAGATTCTTGCAGTCTTCGTGGAGAGTTTTAGTCATGCAGTGCCAAATCCACCACATGGAGGTGAAGCCACAGGCTAGGGGACCAGGGATGTGTCGAAGGCGGCGCCACCGCTGGATTCTGCCAATGGCGTTACTCACCAAGAGGAGACCCGCGATGAGCCATAGAACCGAAGATCCGGACGGCGCCTGGATACTTCCAGTGACGCTGATGAAGATGTCACCCATCTTGGCGCAAGTAAGTCACTTTGAAATATTTCGAGTCCAGGACAGGGAACAAAAACGGAAGAATACACGTGTAGAAATGGAAAGAGTTACATATTATGTGTGGAGCAGCCGGGGCTCCACAAAGGTAGAGTTAATCGGCCATCTGAAGACAGTCACTGGCAGCCAGGCCGGTCTCATGCTACTCTAGACACCCACTGATAGGAAAGAGCAAGCTGGAATCTCTACCGTGGGGGCAGTATCTCGGCGGACCGTGGACGTATTAGAGAGGCCACACTATTTTAGGTATACAATCAGGTCCCTAATAAATCCAACCACAGAGTAGGAAGTGGAGGTCCGACCGGCGGTGCATCATTCAGCTTCTAAGAGGACGCTCCTGCTGCTGCTGCTACTGCTGTTGCTGCACAGACTGTGCAAGATAGCAGGAGCAAGGGGGAAGCCATCCATTGTTTGAGCGTGCAATTTGAGGGCGGCGTAGTGGCTGGACAGCAGCCAGTCTCATGTGATACCGGCTGTGAAAAAGCCAGGACAGTGCGACTGCGAATAAACCCAAGACAATTCCGCCCCCAAATCTTCATATATTTTTTCTAAGTTTCCTCTCGGAGGAACCTCTACACGGCATGTTTCTTGTATTAGCATATGCGAGCACCAGTGCGCAGACAATAACTGCCGGCGCCGTTAGGATCAAAACGTCGGCCTCGCTGAAACGCGTGTTTGTTCTTGGTAGGCTGCAGAGCTATCACCAACGCCACCACACGGCCAGTCATGCGCTGCAACTAATCCCTCCATTGAAAGTAGTTAGTTTGTGTAATAGAATAGTTGGTCTAGAATTGGGTTGGTTAGATGTCGACAATCTGGCTTGGCTGGAGATAGGTAGTGATCCCTCTCGATTGGTTGGCACAAGCGTACGTGCCGCGGCTTTATCACGAAGTTACTGTCATTCAGTTCGGATCCCAAATGATACGCCCGCTTCGGAGATTCGACATGTCATCATTTTCTATTTTCTGTGACAGCCAGCCTGTGCTCTGCTGGTTCTAAGGTCGCCTAGCAAGAAACGTCTTGTCATCGGGACACTTATTTGCACTATGGCCGAAATATGTGATGATATGTTGAGTTTTGGGTTCTAGACCACTAGAACGAGCTAACAAGCTGCCCGGCTCTTTCGACTTCTCTGCTTAAACCGTTAAGCGGTTGCATTATACGACATCTCCCGTTGCTAGTGCCACTCCCAACCGTTCGGGTTGCCTATCCCTGAGAACTCGCCGCCACAACCGGTGATCTGATCTGGCCAGACTCAACTTAGCGGGCGATCACTGCAGACCCTCTGGTATTGAGCCCTGGCTTTCCTCCAAGAATGGGGTGCAGGAGAGGAGTTCGGATTGCTACAGGGCGTGGGTGGCAGTTGTTTACTCATTTCCTCCACATGGGGGCGGCGGATCACCGCGGCACAGTTCTATCCCACCAAACCATCGAGCACCAGCTCCCGAGCAAGTCCACGTCTCTTCACCTCTGTCATGTTGGACAAACTCAACCCCTGTGGCGTTAGTTTGCTGTCTGGAACCGCCCCCCACTTGGGCCCCCCCCTGTGGAGTCCCAGACTGCACAATGCCGAGGACAAACCCTGATTTTAGAAGACGAGTCTCCATCAAAAGCAAGCAGCCTGATTAGAATAGTGGTAATGCGTTGCACTCGTACTTTGACATGCAAAGATCACTGGTTCAATTCCAGATCAGGCAAAACCTGATATTCATATCACTTTTGCCAACTCACGGGTCACGTCTTGGTGATGAACATCCCCCCTGACTCTCTGGGGTTGGGTCTGTTCTTTTTGTTACGTGTTTAGAAACTCATATCAGTTGCTATATAGTGGTCCTCTAGTCGTCATTCAATTGACGCATCTGGAACTGTTTTTGACATATCCATCTGGATGTCTCAGGGTCATTCTCGCAACTGACACAATCTAGCCTCATGGACTTTATTATTGTCCTCCCAACTATAAAACGCACGTTTCGGATTAAAACACCCAAGCTTTCCTTTCTTCAGATGCCATTACATAACTCTTCAAATCATCCCAACCTCAAGCTAAGTCCAACCTTTCTCATTCTCTAAATCCACAGCAACTTTTCTTTACAAACCAACCCTTTCCTTCACCCTAACAAAGTCGTGAGTTCGCAGAACGGCAGCTGAACAGAAGTGACAAAGTTCGAAGAGACTCAAAATATTGTCCATGACAAATAATGTGCAACGGGGGCGCATCCTCTACCTTCCAGCAGATATCCAACCTCCCGACAGTCTATCAGAAGACCTAAAAGGGGAGATCCGAAGAATGCTCGTTGACGGGAAAAAAGGAGCTAGGAGGATAAAGGATCACCCAGTGCTCGTCGACGACACCAATCCCGGCGGTGGTTGGGCAGGGTTCTTTGTAATATCCACTAAGCCGAGCTGGGGAGGTGACTTGAAGAGTTTCGTCGCCATAAAGCATCCAGATTACCCTGCGAGCCCTAAAAGTCTCAAGGTCGAGTATCAAGGCCCTGGTTCATCTCGTAAACCAGACGGCTACGTAAACCTCGCCAAACGTTATTATGTGCCAAAGGGGATGCGTAAGGGGTGGCTATATGGGCCGTGGACCGTTAGTCCGTCCAGCATCCTTTGAGGTTTGGTTCTCGATGAACATATTCAGAATAACAGCGGAATGCTCGATAACCTAGACCCGCGCTCTAGGAGATAAAAACGCGACTCCACTTCCTGAGGGCTAGGGAATTTCTAGCTAACTCTCGATCCAAGCTATGGGGCGGTAGAGGTGTCGAATATGAGATGAAATTAAAAACTGCAGGAGCCTGAAGTAACTAAAAAGGTGTTCGTTTGATACATTACGTCCGACAAGGTGGACTGAATCCCTAAGCTGCACGTATTTTAAAAATGACAGCCTTTAAATAGCGGCCAAATATGAAGTAACACACCTCACAGCTCTCACTGCCTCCAATCTAGAGATATTGTATATATGGAACACATACAATTGAAGCCCCAACGACTTTTAACTAGAACGAGTAACAATTCGCAGCATTTACAATGTGTTACGCGACTACAACGGAGGACACCAAGAGTTAAAATATGTACATGAATTGGTTTAATACGATTAACTAGCGTCAGATGGATCGGCGGAAACCACGAGGCTCCTGGGGAAGGGGGTATTGCTGCCGATGGTAGCCTCCCGAGCATCCGCGCAAAGCTGGTACAGTAGTATGTATAAGTGACAAAGCCGACACAGAAAAAAGAGAAAAGAGGGAAAGAAGAGAGATTAGGTGCGTGGCGTCTGGAGCGTCACTGTGGCGGGAATGGAGGGATATCCACCGCCCGATACATAAGAGAAAGTAAAGAAACGAATCGTGTGTCGTGTATGTGTGTACACAGCCCACATGGGCATGCACAATAACAAGAAAAGGGGGAATAATATATGTAATGTTCTAACACACCCACCGCGCCGCGCCCCCCACCGTCCATCTCCATCATGACCGCGTGATCAGATTTTTGTAGAAGAGAAAGAAAATGCCCGCCTTGCCTGCCACACAACCTCCCAAGTAGTAAAGCCAGCCCAGCCATCCGTCTCTTTTCCTAGGTAATAGGCTCCAGGTGAAACGAATCACTTCGCCAACTGGAGCGAGAGAAGTGTTTGACGACGAGCTGTAGCGAATCACCGCTTGGGGCCCAGCTTACGTGCCCCACTCGGCGGGCTTCTTCCAGTTTGACGGCTTGGCGGGCCGCGACGGCGGCGGCATAGGCTGGTAGCGCGGGGGCCTTTTCTCGGGGTGCCTCTCGCTCACGGCCGTCGGGGGTGGGGACGAGTGGGCGCTGTTGGCGGTGGACGGGGGCACGGGCCAGGACATGAGGGAAGGCGACATGACGCCGCTGCTGGCGATGCTGACGCCGCCGAGCGAGTCCTGGCTGGAACGTGGGTTGTTGGATTTGGTGGGGGACGGTGAGCGCGGGAAGATCGGCGACATGGGCGAGACGCAGAACGGGCTCGACGGAGTCGGCGTCTTGCTGCCGGCGATCTTGAGGTCGATGAACGGCGGGCCGTCGTTGGTGGTGCGCGTTAGCGAGCGCCGCGCTGCCGTCGGGTTGGGCGGCGTCACGGTGCCCGGCAGCGTGGTGCTGCCGTAGTTGAGCGTGTTGCGCTTCTCGCTCAGGATCCCGCCGCCGCCGTCGTTGTTGTCCCAGAAGAGCAGCCCCTTGCCCATCGAATCGCGGTTCTTCTCGAGCTGCGTGTATGGCGCGATCTTAAACGGCGTGAACTTGATGAGGATGGCTTGCACCCGGCGGTTGCGGCGGAATTTGTAGAGCACGGCGAGCAAGATGAGAAGCGCCACCACGATAGCTGCGATGCCAATGAGAAACAGTTTAAAGTGAAGGGAAGGTCTGGAGATACGTACCAACGACTGCGCCTATGATCCCCGGCAATGGGCTCGAGGCAGGGCTCGAGACGGGCTGGGCACCGGCGGGACCGCTGCCGCCGCCAGGACCACCTACAGTGCCGCCGTTTCCTCCGGTACCTGTGGTGGTCGTGCCTCCGTTTGTACCGCTGCCCGTCCCGGTTGATCCGGATCCTCCTCCGCTTGTTTCTGAGCCAGATCCAGTTCCAATGACCGTCGACCCGTCAGCCGTCGGGTCGCCATTTGATGCCGCGCCCACAGGCCTCACTGTACCGGTGGAAGTAGTGTCGCCACCTTGTTCTTGGTAAAGCAATGGGACATGGCTCGCGACCGCCGCACTAGAAGAGCCGGTGGTTCCTTGTCCGTTTGACTCCCCGGTGGTAGCGACAGCAGTCCCAGTCTTGCTCCCACTACTTGAGCCGGCAGTGGCCTTGGTCCCGCCGTTTCCAGAGGCCTCATTCTGCTGTTGGCTTCCTGCAGCAGACCCGGAGCCAGAACCAGAGCCAGAGCTCGAGCTTGACCCGGAACCAGAGTTGGAACCCGATTGCGAACCCGAGTTTGAGCCAGAGTTTGAAGTCGATCCAGACCCGGAGCTGGAACCGGACCCGGAAGCTGGGGCCGAGGAGCCAGACCCAGGGGATGCAGAACCGGAAGAACCCGAGCTGGAGCCGGAGTTTGAGGAATCGGAACCTGCGGACCCAGAACCCGAAGAGCCTGAGCCTGAGTCTGAGCCTGAGCCTCCCGAGCTAGAACCTGACCCAGACCCGCCAGTGCTGCCAGAGCCACCACCCGAAGCAGGCACCGCTGGCGCAGGATCTGGCGCCGCAGCGGGTGGCGCGGCTGGCGCCGGCTGTGTAGCGGCGGGCGGTGGGTTTGCCGGAGGAGGCGTGGCGGCTGGCGTTGGCTTTGCCGGCGTGGGAGTCGGGGCAGGCGTAGGAGCAGGCGTCGGCGAGGGAGTAGGAGTCGGCGTCCCCGTCGTCGAGCATCCCGCAGATGCCGGAAACAGCTTGCACAATGGATCCACCACGACCGTGTTCCAAATATCGGTTACCAGCCCCCTCCTGCGCACGGCCGCCGCCGTCGCCGCCGTGTTGCGAGGAATGCCCGGCATGTTTTCCGCAACGTGGGCGGGGTTTTGTCAAGAAGAAGGGTTCTCAGAGAAATGCTTTCAACGCGACATGGCCTCCTCCCAGGTTCAGAGCGCAAGGGGGTAAAAAACGAAAGCAGTGTCAAGTCCGTTCGCGCAGTGGGGTCCTGTCTGCTGTTAGTGACGAGGATTTGCGGCATTGCAACATTGCTGCTGCGATCGAGGACTGGGGGGCCCACCGAATTAGAATATCACTTCGAGTGCAAGACGGCAGCATATGGTATGTGCTGAAGAATTGGATTGTATTCCGCGAGTCCAGGCCGAAGGAGTGAAGGCGCCGGGGGAACGGGAAAGTCTCAGGTCGGGAGAAAGAGAGAAGAGAGAAGGCAGCGGGACGATCACGAAAAGAAAGAAGGGATGCATCGTGTAGATCAGTGTGATGGGCCATCCCGGCCCCGGCTCTCTCTGCTCTGGCTGGCCTGGCTCGTCGGCGACAAAATAACCTGAAATGGGAGGGCCTGGGGGGATGAGCCTGGGGTTGCTTTGCTTGTTTGCTTGCTTGCAACTGGGTTGCTGGTTCGTGTCGAGGCCGGAGGACCCAGGAAGCGGGAAAAGCACCCATGATGTTCTCCACCGCAGTGGTATTCGCGGCTTGGCGGGCAGCCGTTGAAGGTGTTGTTTCAGGAAACGATCGGCGGCTCGTCCCTGGCACCTTGCCCTCTGGAGATTAGCGGCACTGCAGCCGTCAGGCACAGCTCCATGCGCGTGGGGCAGGCCACCTTCCGCGCTCTGCGGAGAAATTGCCAGTGGCTGACGGAGCGCCTTCCCCAAAATTTGCGCTGCTTTCACTGGTGTACCAGCAAAAAGCCTCTGTGATGGGGCCTTGGCGTGCTGGGGGAAGCTGTTTCAGGAAAACAAGGATGCCGATCACATAAATTTCCTCGGAAACTTCGTTCCTGAAAGACCAGGGAAGACATATTATTCACCTGCTTGACTAACGATATTTTGTTATGGCGGCACCCCGAGCTCGCCGTCTTGCCCCTTGCCATTGTCCTTGACCGCCTGTTCGTCCACCCCGCGAGGCTCTGGCAGTGGGGCCCAAGTGATTTTCGGCAAGCGTTGCGCCTTGCTGTAGTACTTGCCCTGTCGGTGTTAGTGCCCGGCCTGTCAGCCAAGGCCCACTCTCCCACGGACACAAGGCGGGATTGGCTTGATCACA